GAGAAATTATAAAGTAATATTATTGCTGATGTAAAATGTAAAAACACAAACTCACTCACAAACCCTCCTACTGCTAAATAAATTCTGGGCCAGTAAAAAATAAATGCGTTTAAAATATCTGAAAATCCCACACTGGTCAACCACTAAATTTGAATAATATACTACAATGTAATATAATAAACGTAATGTGCCTTTCGAAGGGCGTTCTCTCTAACCTCTTGAGTACAATGGGAACAGACACTGCCGGATTCTTCTTCAGTCCATCGATGATGTCCAGAGCTTTGTCTCCATATATCCTCTGGATGGCTTTCCTGTGGATGATCTCCGAGCAGCCACCCAGAGTGTTGTCCAGTCGGAATTTCACCTGCTCTTCCGCAGACATCCGAGACAGCTTCTTCTGAACCACCTCCAGCACACGAATGGTGGCCAGGTTGGTTTCCAAGACAACATCCAGCTAGAGAGAGGAGTCAACGACATCATTAGCAAGAATAACATCACAAACAACTCAAAACAGCAAGTGGAACAGTAAAAATTTTCTTGTGTGTGGAAGCGTCTCACCTCGAATCGCTCGTCCTCACACCTGTACATGTGTTCTTCATACTGAGTCTTCTTGGAGCTGACGAAGGTAGAGTCCTCAGACCAGGAGGGGAAGGAAACCCAGGTATCATTCAGCACCTGATGCATCCACAAAGAATTGAGTAATTTGATGCATGTTCAATATTAAGCCGGCAAGGTGATGAGGTTTGTAAAGAAGCTGTTGTTAAGGGAAAATCCTCTCTTACCTCTTTACAGAGTGATGTTCTTCCTGTGCATTTGGGAAGCTGGTAGCTCTTGGGTAAAGCTCGATAACTAGAGCCCAGACGCTTGCATGAAGCGTAGTCAATTTCCATGGCAATTCCTTCAGTGGCTCTTTCTTTTGGGTACCTCTCCAGGTGTGACATCTCTTTATATCCAAGGAAGTTCTTGAACCAAGTGAATAGCTCAGGAAATTTACTGGGGAAAAACGGGTTGATTAGTAAAAACACAAATCCACTACTGTAAAATAAAAACTGGAGGCAGCTTTGTAATGAATACAAACATAAATAAAAATAAAAATGAATGATTGAATGGCAAAACAATTCTAGCAACTGCTAAACAAATGCTAGGGGAGTTTTGTAAAAAAATTGCGTATAAAAGTTTTTGCATAAATAAATAAATAACATGTAACATAAAAAAAAAAATGAATGAATGCTGAAAATGTAAAAAACTAAATCCCATGACTGCAAAGTAATTTCTAGGGCAGGTTTGCAAAAATCAATAAAAAATAAAAAAAAGAATCAAAATAAAACAAAAGATTATTGCCAAAATTTTTTTGGCAATACCCACTTCTATACCCAAAACACAAACCTACTACTTCTAAATAAATGCCAAGGAAGTTCTCTTAAAATAAATAAATAAATAGAAATAAATAATAGAAATAAATAAAATAGACATATTTAATAAATATAAAACAATAAAAAAATAAAGATAAAATAAATCTGTAATTTATTTAAATCAAATACATTTAAATGAATTAAACTAAAATAAATAAATAAAAATAAAATAGAACAATTAAAATTCACTTCAAATGGGACTTACCCCAAGAATGGAACCACAAGTTGAACCAGCTCAGCACGAGAAATGATCTCTTCGTTAAAAATGATCAGGCACCGGAGAAAGTTGTCATATGCTTCAGCACTTCGTAAAGCTTTCCGCACCTACGAATGCACCCATAATGTAAGTCAAAATAGGAAATCAAAAAGTTTTGAGATAAAAACAACCTGCATATTACATCAACATCCCTATGTTAACCCAAAGCAACTCACTTTGTCAAAGAAAAGAGACTCTGTTCCTCCACCATGTTTGCCAGATTCTGCCACGGATGAATCTTTGATATTCATTAACTTGAGCTTTTTCTGGAAAAAAAAGAGAGGAAAAAAGTCAGATATCAAGAAAGTTATTCTACAAAAAATCATGCCAAATACAACGAAATTCATTCAGTGTATAATGAAATGTATTTCTATGAATTTGACAATTTCCTGTACCTTCACAGGTGGGGTGACGGCTGTAGTCGAGTGCTTGCGTATCTGGCAGCCGTTCTGATTGGGCCTCTGCTTGTTATTGAGCTGTGGTTTCTTGGCCGTTCCACCGTGATCGTTACGCACAGATTCGGCCTTCTCTGCTGTCGTCTTGCTCAGCAGCTAGAGGAAATTCATAGCAGGAAACATGCGTCATTTTCACTTAGTGTAACGTCATGTACTAAAATAACCAAAACTACAACTGAAATAAAAATTACAGGGCGCGACAGTTTGAGCATTTCACTCGCATTTAGAATTTAGAAAACAGATGTGTGCAAACACTGAAATGTATTTAGGAGCATGTGTGCGATTAAAATTCAGTTTTATGAAATTTAAAGTAATAAAAAGTCTTAAATACCTTAAATGGTATTACATACTATTAATTAATTTAAATTTGATCAACTATTAATTAAAATTACAATTTTAATTTAAAGGTAGAAAAACAGTAATCGTGATACGTTCTAAAGTGATAATTAAACTTCAAAAGGCTATTATATAATTAAATAAATATAAATAAATAAATAAATAAATAAACTATTGTAACAGTCTAAGACTAAGTCTTTAACAATCACTATTTTATAAATTTAACATATCCTTGCTAAATAAAGGTATTAATTTCTTTCAAAGAAAAAAACAAAAACAACAACAATGAAAAAACATACCACAAACTTTTGAACAGTAGAAAAGATTTCTATTTTGAACTTTTTCAAAACTTTTTATTCATCAAAGAATCTGGAAAAAGTATTATAGGCTCCAAAAAAAGAATGCTTATTAGAATGATTTCTGAAGGATCATGTGACACTGAAAACTGGAGTAATTATGCTGAAAATTCAGCTTTGCATGACAGGAATAAATTACATTTTAAAGTATATTCAAATAGAAAACCATTATTTTAAAGGGGTCCTATTATGCTCTTTTACAAAGTCTTGATTTTGTTTTGGGAGTGTACTAGAACAGGCTCTCATACTAGGTTGCTCAAAAAACACATAATTTTTCACATATTTTACATTATTACAACACCTCTCTCCCCAGTCTGGCATGAACGGCTCTAATAGTTCCTGTATCAAATTAAGGCCCGCCTTCTGAAATATGAAATGTGCTGTGATTGGTTCGCTGGGCCAGTGTGTGCTGTGATTGGCAGCACTCGGCGCCTGGTCGGGAAATGTCATGCCCCTTACCATAGCCGCCTGCGAGCTTCAGTGTAAATATTGCGTCAAAATCAAATCAATTTGAGCGCGATTTAAAACCGTCTGCCTTGGGAAAGCTAGCGTGTCTCCAACATAGTGATAACACTCGTTGCCTTCTCTAGTGCAGCTCAACCAGGTCTCGTCCCATTCGTCGATCTTTGTGATATCACAAATCCTGGAAAATATGCGTTGTAGTCCAAACAAGTCGTTCGTTGTAGTTTTTGAAAAGTGATTTCTGTTAAATAAAATATCTCCTTCTGAATATGACTTTGAGCTTTGTAACTTTGCAGATCTTTTTTATGCTCGAACAGCAACATTACAGACTAACTAAAGTTGAAAAAGTGAAAACGCATAATAGGACCCCTTTAAATTGTAATAATATTTTACAATATTACTGTTTTTTTTATTACTGTTCTTGATGAGCATAAGAGCCTTCTTTAAAAAAAAACTATAAAAATCTTACTGACCCTAGTGTAGTTTTTGTATTATAATAAATTAAATAATTCTGCTTGTAGATGTCTCCTTGTATCCCTTTATTTAGAAAAAAATTAACCCATTATTTGATAAATTTTCATTGGAAAATCCTAAATTCAATTTTCAACTTAGGAGCACATGCGCTCACTGGGAAAAAAGTAAGCATCAAGCCCTGAATTAATAAGCTACAAAATAACAACTTGAAAATATCAAAATATGTATAAAAACTATAATAGAATCTCAATTACACTAAAATAACAGAAAACCAGATTAAACTGACCCTGAACTTCTGAAAATGACAGTTCATTCTTTTTGGTTAGAGACTGTTCAAAAAGGTTAGATTAAAAGATTCTAAAACTGGAGTAATGTATCAGTCCAGTGGGCGGGGTCAGAGTGGAGGCGGAGCCTCGATCAAACTCACCACAGAGCTGTTGGCGTCCGGCAGGAACTGTCCAAACTCAGAGAGCAGATCTTCCTGGTTTTTGAAGAGTTGGGCCACCTCAGCGTAAACTTCCTGCTCGGTCAGGGCTGGGGTGTAACTCCCGCCCGCTTCTTTAGCATTACGCTGCTCCTTCTGATTAACGAAACAAGTATATGCGTAAGTGGATTGTGAATTATAATTCATTTGTGAAGTGTTTTCGGTTTTCTGCCCGACCTGGTACTTGTGCAGGATCTCGAGGAAGGATTTGTAGATGTTAGGCTGGCCCTGGAAGCGGTTCTTAATCTTGTTGACGTAGCTGATGGCGTGGTTGAACTCCACGGGCTGGTTGTTCTGCAGCGGCGGGGCGCTGGGCATGCTGTTGACGGGGGTGTGGGGCTGCAGCGGGGGCGAACACGGGGACGCATACGGAGGGATGGACGGATTGAGATGACTGCTCGGAGTCAGAGCTGGAGACTGCAGTGGCTGTACAGACAGAGAGAGAGAAATGGAAAAATATCAGTGATCCTGATCGGGACTAAACCAAGGTATATGCAGAGTTTTTAAAATCATATTTAAGACTTAAGACCACCACAAATAAAATATTACTGTATAATCATATAAAACGAACCCATAACATTTAAACACTGAAACTGGAAACTGGTATATGATGCGATTTAAAATGTTCCTTTCTCTTTGGACTGTTACAAGCTCTTGGTGCATAAAGAAGATCTGTAAAGTTGCAAAGACTAAAGTCTCAAATCCAAAGAGATATTCTTTATAAAAGTTAAGAGTCAGCCACACCTACCTAAAACGGCTCGTTCTAACACGCCCCCACATATCTACATCACTATGTGGGAAGATTTGCATAACGCCGCCCAAATGTCCACGCAAAGAAAGAAGGCCTAACTTTTATTCTGACTGTAGTATTGTTGCTGCTGCCATGTTGTGAATGCGCTGTGTGATTCGTTGTGAAAGCGAAACTACTTTGTTTGGCCTTCCAAAAGAGGATGATATCTGCTTCGTCATG